GCCACAGTGCCACTTCTGACTTTTTTCTTTTTGCTTATGTGGCTGAGGAATTGAACCCCGAGCCTCAAGCATGCAAGGCAAGCTCTACCATAGAGCCACCTTCCCAGCCCCGAAAATGAGTTATTTTAATTTCTAATTACCCTAGGTAGGTTGCTTTCCTCTTAAATGGTATAGTAATGATTAATGGAAGTGAAAAACCTGATTACATATGAAAGTAAGTGTATTCAAACATACATTTTTGTGTATAATTCCAGATTTTCCAAGGATATGTATTTTTTACAACAGAACAGTACAGAACAGCTCTTAGAGATTTCCAGAATAGCTTAAATAATGACTTGCTGGACTAAATATATTATAGATTCTAAACCTTTCTCTATGAAACTGGAAATTAAAGTGGTCATACCAATATTGAGAACTTTTTATTTGCTTCTTGGTAACATCTAGATGATTGTGTGAGATAAATACTTTGGTATTATTTCTGCAACTAAGCAATGTTTCTTTTTATTCATGAACTGCCTTTTGTTATATGGATTTTGTCATATTTCATGAAGTTCTTTTGGTTTGTAAAGCAGCTTTTAAATAACAAGCTCATCAATCATAAATTTCCTGGACAAAATAATTTAGCTCTTAAATTACAATCCTTTTGCTGAACATAATTTATTTTAAATTTACAAATTCTCTTTCTGGAGTGATCAAACTATACAGTGTTTGAATAATATATTCCTGATGAAAGAGTAGATTCTTATAAGGAATGAAACTGGCAGATTGACCCAGCAGAAAGATTTCAAGTTGAATTTTAAAAGGACAAAGATATAAACCTGTGAAGACCAGATATTGTGAAAAATTGTGGTTAAACAAAAGAGCCAAACAAACACTTTGTCTTCAAATGTTTATCTCTCAATTCACTGAGACTTTTTTTAAAATAAACCTGCAATTTTCATAGAAAACAAGTAGGTTTTCTAACGATATCCTTTTATATAAATATAAATTTATATAATTCTGAAATGCTCCTGCAATGGATCATGTCTGGAATATAAATGAGAAGAGTACATGTCTCTGAATCATATCTAGTAGGACAAAGGGACATGGTTTTATAACATGAAGAGATCTATCCAAAGGAAGTCTATAAACCTGCTGGTGGAAATGATGGTTTTGGGTGATTATGAATGAAAAGAAAGCCAGAAATTCTGTTTCTGTGGAAGGATTTAATGTCTATCCAATTAGGGAGGGGGAAGGAAACATGTTAGTTCCTTCAAAAAGGGGCCGTGTCATTCTCATTTTTATATGTGGTAGAGAATTTTGTAGAGTTCCTTTCACATAATAATTGCTCATAAGTGGTTGAGTGCTTTGACATGACAAAGAAATGACAGAATTTTGGCAGGTATAACAACTGCAACAAGGAAACAGATTTTTAAAACTCAGAAAAAATAGGTTCAATTCTGTGGTCCGAACACTGTTCACAAAACTGTAAAATATCACATTGACAATATAATAATAAATTATCCCCATGTAGAAAGAAAGATTTATATAACCAATTAAGTAAATAGCCCTCTATTACTGATCAGTATATATTAAAAGGTCTGTGTACAATTGAAATAATAATAATTGTGTGTGTGTGTGTGTGTGTGTGTGTGTGTGTGTGTGTGTGCACATGCACACGTGCTAATCCTGGGGGCTTGAACTCAGGGCTTGAGTACTGTCTCTGGGCTTTTTTTCTGCTCAAGACTAGCACTCTACCACTTGGGCCACAGACTGATGGTTAATTAGAGATAAGGGTCTCATAGATTTTACTGACTGGGCCAGTTTTGAACTGAATCTCAACCTCCTGAGTAGGTAGGATTATTGGTATGAGAACCAGTGCCCATTGAGAGCATTTTTTTTTTTATCAGTCATGGGGGTTTGAACTCTGGGCCTGGGTGCTTTCCCTCAGCTCTTCAGCTCAAGGCAAGCGCTCTACCACCTGAGCCACAGCATCACTTCCAGCTTTTTCTGCTTATGTGGTGTTGAGGAATTGAACCAAGGGCCTCATACATGCAAAGCAAGCACTCTACCACTGAGCCACATTTCCGACCCAGAGAGCATGGTTTTTGACAGGCAGGATTGTAGTGGTTAGGAGCATGAGCTGCAGAGCTAGACTGACAAGGTTTGAGTCTTGGCTACACCACTTGGATAAGTTACATACATTCTCTTTTTCTTAATTTCCTTTTCTGTTAAGTGAGGAATAGTAGCATGTACTTCTTTGGCTTGCCAGGAGATGAAATGATTTCATATGCATGAAGCACTGGGAACAGGGCTGGCACATAGTAAGCAGTACTACATGATATTTCTGATTATTTTATTGAATAATTAAAAAAGAGGAGCTTAGGAATTGAGAAGAAAGGAGATAGAAGTAAATACGTACAGCAGTTAGAAAAGATTTTTCCCCTAGTGAAGCCATAGATCAAAAAAGATAGTTAAGAGAACTATACAATGTATCTATCAGGACAGCAGAGAGGGAGACTTCTGTAAAGAAGAGAATTGGTTTAGTCAGACCGGAGCATTTAGTATAATCTGCTTTGGTGCATTATGATCCTGATTCTGGAGAGAGTTTTTTGAGAGAAGCTAAAGCAGTTTAACCCTCTGTGGATGGAGTGCAAGGCCAGAGGATGATCAGATCTTTAAAACTAAGGTTACTGCTACATGAGGAACACCTGACAAAAAAGAATTGTGATTTGGGACACTTCATGTGTTTGTTCAAAATTGCTCTTGGTAATATTGAAGGAGTCAGGAAGAAGGGGAGCTGCTCCCCTTTGGCAGGAAGTTCCAATGATCACTCAGTGGTTAACTGTTGAAAATATTGCAGGCTTTCCCCCTTGGTAGTGGGGTTTGAACTCACAGTCCCACACTTGTTTGCTTGCTTGCTTAGCTGGTGCTTTACTACTTGAGCCACACCTTCAATCCTGTTGTTTTTGCTGGCCTCAAAATGCCATCCTCTAGATCTGAGCCACCTAAGTGGCTAAGATAATGGATGTGAGTCACAGGGACTTTGCAATGTTATTGGGTTTTTACAAACCTATTCTATTTTCAACAGAAAATATATAAATATGACCATTTCATATTTTAAATATGACTATTAAGCTTCAGTTTGTATCTTTCTTCCTGCTTCCTTAATTTTTTTTCTGTACTTTTTGCACAAACCATCATAGTTATTATTTTCTACAGTGACTTATAATGTCAGGAATTCTCCTTAAAGATTTTTGAATACTGTCTTAAGTCCAAGTAAATGCCTAAATAGCCACTAGTAGCCCTTTCTCTACCCTTAGTTATTTAAATTTAAATGTATTATCTGCTGCAATGCTGTTTCTGAGACAACACAATAGTAATTTGGGGAACATTTGTGCACATGTCTGACAATGTCTTCCTTTTTATTCAGGAGCCACAGAATAACTAGTAGAAAATCCTCAGGGTTTTAGCAGAAGGGTCCAATTCCTTTCTAACTTCTAGTGTTGTTTCAATCATTACTTTCCTTCCTCCTTTCATATTTCCTATAATATTTTAGTCAGGACATAGGAGAAGGGGGTTGAGAGATTGTACAGAAGCCTTTACCTTGGCAGAAGCTCAATATGCCACATTTTGAGAGGATCTTGAGCCACACAGGAGAGGAAATGATGTCAAATGGTAGCAATGTAAGAAGTGTAAGTGTTTATTTCTTGAAAAGAGAAGGTATAAATGGGATGTGACATAAGTGGCAAGGTGACCCTAGAAGTTGACTTTGTAAATGAATACCAAACCAAGGGGAGCCAAGGAACCCTGTCCAAGCTACTGAGAAGAAGATTTTTTTTTAGATGTAGACTGAACAAGTTAATATCTAAGGTTATTTTCAGCCTAACATTACTGGTAATATACACAAGGTTAGCATCTTTGAAATGTGAGATGGACAAGTTTTCCTTCATAAGTTTAGTATGTATGACAAGTTGAATGGTACACTGGTTAAGATAAATATACCTGAGATCCAAAATTCTGATTCACTTAAATTTCAAATATGGCCTTGTAATCTATGTTTTTATAATACAGATAAATTTTGAGAATATGATATTACTTTATAGGTAGGATGAGTGCATTAAAATATTCATTTGTGGTTTGGTCTTGTGGTTCAGGGGACACCATCTTTATTGATACCAATCAAGATTTAAAATATAAATGTTATGATGTAATGCATTTGAGTTCAGAGTAAATGTGATTATTTTGGCAATGTATGGTACTATAATTGAGGGTTTTATAAAAAAAAAGGAGAGAAAGTGATACCTAAATGATTGAGGGTAATCACTAAGCTCAACATTTCTACATAAAACTGTCTTCAGGGAAACAGATAGTAATAAGTGAAAAACAAAGGAGAGAGGGAAGAGAGAGAGGCAAAGAAAGTCTGATGGAGATGATCTTTGACACAGAAATTGAGAGATTCAAGGAAAAAATGTGGGGTATGGGAGAATCACAAGTTGATAAACTCTCAAGAATGCTAAATCAGCCCAGTGGCCAGCTCTGATTTAACTGACCACAGAAAAGCACATTGTTCTTCTGGTATAGCCCCTCCCTGATACTCTCACGGCTCCTGGTCATTAAGAGCTTTGCCAACAGAGGCTAGCAGCAGATCTGATGAACTGGAACCATCAACTACTTCTGTTTCTTTTGACAAATGCTATCCAGAAGGGAGATATAAGCAGTGCACATCCAGGGCAACCCCATAACCCAAGCCACCCCTTTCCCCCACTGCTGGGGAGTGTATAAACATACTTGGAGCCACACTTGTGTTGGTTTAATTCTACTTTTATTGCTTAAGTCTCTCAGAGTCCTATTTTTCCATGTCTATGTATCAAGTATATCGTATGAATGATTCTATCCCTGTATATTTTTTTTTAAAAAACTGACTCAAAAATAAAATACTCTGTCAGAATATAATGGTAAAAATGCTTTGTAAAGATGTGGCACTTTAAAAACTCAATTCTTCCTTTTTATTCCTGTAGTCTGGCGGCAAGAAGAACTTGCACGCATTAACCAATATTTCACTGGAGCTGAAAGGAAAGCTTATTTGTGCGAACTTTTGGACAAAGAGACCCAGCTAATTGCTTCCATTGGGAGACATAGAGACCTTGCTTATAAAGAGAGACAGGAAGCAGGCATACAAGATTTTCTCAATAAGGTTAGTGAAGTAACTGTTATTTAAACACAAATGTATGATGAAGTAAAAAAACACTGAACAACGATCTGAAAAAGAGACCTATCCTATATCATAAACATTTATAAGAATTTTCTTGAACATTTTGATAATGTGTATATATTTAAATTAAACATACTTATTAGTTTGATACACCTGTAGATTAGAATAGAGATTGACAAGAAACATGAAATTAGCACATCCTTTACTAGAGGGATTAGTTCATGAAGAGAAGATAGAGACATCTTCCCTGTGACTTCCTTTATTTAGATTTAGGCCAGTTGCATGGATTGCATGAGTTCAACAGTCTGATAAAATGCAGAGAATTAAAGTTACAGGGTGTCTTGGTCTGAGGTGCTCTGTATGGAACGTAACCTAGGGAAATAGCTAGAGATGACAGTAGTGTTGCTTTGGCTCACTGCAGCTTAACTGACTGGAAATTTCTGACAGAAAAAAATATGATTATTGAAAAGCATGAAAACATGCAATTGGGTGGGGGGGGGCCCTGCAGTAATTACTCTTTTGTGGTTAAACTGCCTGTTTGATATTGAATATCCTGTTTCTATGGTAACAATTTTCTTTTTAGAAACTTGGTCTTTCTGAACAATGAGAAGCCAAGGCATCCAGAAGAAAAGCATGAAGGTCTCCAAGCTATTTAGTGATCCTACTTCTATGATGCTTATTTGTTCTTAAACATGTATTTTAATACTTTAAATATTTTCCTCAGCTTATTTACATACCTTCCTTTTTGATCCCAGTTTCTTTTTGGTTTTAACTATGGTTCTGAGTTCTAGGTCAGAAGTTTAGGACTCCTCACTGTCAGCACTTTTTGGGTGTCCCAAGTTATACCTCGAGTATCAGGGCAACCCGAAGCCGTATCATCTCACTCTCGGTCACTTCTTTCACCTCCTAACTGATTTCTGAACTCCTACTCCTACATGACCTTTTTCTATGGGTATTTTGTTGTCAACCAATTGTATAGATAGAAACCTGGATGGTATTCTTTTTTATTTTTTCCTTTATTATTTATTTATTTTAATTAGCTATCTGTCTACTGTGTATTATCTTAATGTTTTACTTCTTTTCATTGGCTGTCATGAAGTGACAGTGCCATGACAGATTGGCCACTTTGTCTATATCAAATAGGCCATCCAGGCCAAGATTAGAGCCACATATAATTCTAGTTTTGTCAGAATTCCTTGGGGTCTTCCTGGAGCATGGAAGGATGAAGGCTTCTGAGGATCTACAGTCGGGCTGTTCCCTTCTATTGCCTCCCTCCCCTCTCTTTGGTGAAGGTCATGAGATAGGACTTTCTTTTTCATGTGAGTGTGAGGGTGCTTGTGCTTGAGCATGCATGTATATATGTATGAGAGAGTCAAACACAGAAAGAGATTGGCACTGATTTAATTGAGTCTGTATTTCTTTCTCATCTGGATTACCTTGTTTCTAAAGCAGACTCTTGCCTGCAGCCTTGCTTCTCTTCTTCCTTCCTCTATCTTCCATACCAGTACCATAAAGACATCACTGAGGACACCTCTGACTCTGCCCCTCTGCACGTCCCTGAAGGAACAGGGGTTTTCACTGTGTCTTCTCTGCGCACTTTACTCATCACTTTGACCATCCTCTTTCCCTGCACCATCCCCTATTGCATCCACTGTACTCTATTATGTCTTAAGGAAGACCATTCACTTTTGAGGCGTTTGTATCTGGAGTTGCCACCACACAGAATATCTTCCCTCTTTCCCTAGTAGTGAGTCACTTATTGAAACAAACTTCTATAGAGGACCCACTGATTTTCCTGCATTTGCCTGTACTATTTGCTCTTATAACACTCTGTATCACCCCTTATTTTTGTCTTTATTTTTTTATTGCCTCTAATTACTTCCTAGATTCTGAATTTGGTAAGGTAGTATCCTCAAATCTTAGCACATCAGTTATTCCAGAGTGTCAAAAATACTTGTGGGGGAAGGCAGGGAGGAAAATAAGGGGCAGAAATAATGGTATGAAATTTTATATTATATTTGAAACATCATCAAGAGATTAGGTAGATACTTAAATTGTTGAATTTCTTAATTCTGAGATAAAGGAATCTCCTGGAGAGGAGCCATAATTTTCATAATTATAAGTTGCTCCATCAATGGGAAAGGTGTTTCCATGTGTCCGTTTACCTCACCCAGGACAACATGTGTGTTTCAAAGATCTGGAAGCTTCTAAGTACCCATGGGCAAGGAAGATGGGTAGCACCTGTCTTTCCTTATTTTATTTATATTTATTTTAAGTTAAAAATATCTTTAAGTAGTTGTACAAAGGAGTTATTATTTAACAAATCAGTTTGTGAACACAATGCACTTGGATCAGTGTCACCCCTTTCAACACTCTCATTGATCTCTCCCAGCCCACCTCTTTCCTCACACTTCTTAATTTTGTAGGGTATATATTGAATTTTTAAAATTACATTCTCTCCTTTTTTCTCTTCTTCATTATTCTATGCCTTTCCCCTTGACACCACCCCACTCACCCCTCTTGAGTAGCTACTTCTTGGTATAATGGTGTATACACCATTTGATTCTCCCTTGAATCTACAATTTCAGTTAATATATTGGTATATATTTGCATACCCACTCAATGTATTTACTTATAAGTTTTCAAGCTAAATTTGGCTTCCGTATATAAGGGAAAACATGCATTCTTTGTCTCTTGGGGCAGATTTTTTCCCTAGATATTGCCATTTCTTTACAAATAGTATGATATCATTCTTTCTAATAGATGAGGAAAATTCCATTATACATATATCTATATATCTATATCTATATATATCACATTTTCTTGATCCATTCATCCACTGAGAGGCATCTAGATGATTCTATACCTTGGCTATGGTGAATAGTGCTGCAACAAACATGGTTGTGTTGATAGCTTTACTGTATCCTGGCTTGTAATTTTTTGGGTAAATGCCTAGGAGTAGAATTGCTGGATCACTGGATAGTTCTTTTTTGATTTTTTGAGGAAACTCCATACAGCTTTCCAGAATGGTTGAACAAGTTTACATTTTTACCAACAGTCTGTTAGAGTGCCTTTAGGACCTTTCCCTCATGCTACCAGATTACTTTCTATTTCCTAGTTCTACTATAAGTTCTATTTTTTTGTGAATACTTATAAAATATTCACTCTTCTTCATGCCAACACCCTTTTTGAAATTGTATATGCTGAGAGAGTACATAAAGGGAAACCATACTCAATAGATAAATATGACATTGTAAACAGTTGCTCACCATTACCTTTTCTCATGAAATACAGCATGCTGAGGGACAACAGAAAAATAAGATGGACAAATTTTGTTCATAAGATTTCTTATGAGGAAGGAAGATGTGTCTTAAAATTTCTTTTCCTAAATACTTTAAAAAGTTGTTGAAGCTGGGCGCTGATGGCTCATGTATGTAATCCTAACTGTTCAGGAGGCTGAGATCTGAGGATCATGCTTCAAAGCCAGCCCAGGCAGGAAAGTCCATGAGACTCATCTCCAATAAGCCATCAGAAAGTGGGAAGTGGCACTGTGGCTCAAGTGGTAGAGCACTTGCCTTGAGCTGAAGAGCACAGGGACAGCCTCCAAGCCCAGAGTTCAAGCCCCGTGACCAAAAAAACCAAAAAAACCAAAACAAACAACCCCCCCCAACCAACCAACCAACAAAAACAATAGAAAAACCAAACAAACAAGAAAAAAGTTCTCGAGGGAGTGCTAGAATATGAGATATTGAAAAATTCGGAGTATAGGAAGAATTGCCATGAGTCAGAATGGCAGGGTGTGGGGAGCGGCTGAGTGGTGTATTTGACAAAAATGAAAATGAGAGAAGAGGCATCTCGGAGACAGTGAGGTACAAAGTGACTTTTTGTGACAGAATTCAAAATTAAATAAGTATGTTGTTAAACAAATGAAATATTAAATGGAAGATTGTTTTGTTTTTTAAAGACAGCCAGACACTCAGAGACTCAGGACAATGACTTTAAGACCAGGCTAATGCCTGATACCACACACAGAAAATAAGAAGATGTAACCGTTAGCCACAAAAACTCGTGGAAATTCACAGGAAGGCTTTTTGTGGGTTACGGATTTTAGAATTAGACTTCTAAATGGACAGACTCACCTAGATCATAAATCAGTGAACCTCACCTGTCCCTAAGCTAATTTCAGGGGCATTTGATGCTAGGAAAATAGGGAGATTTTTACCTTAATTGTGGCCACAGTTTCATACTTGGTCATGAAAATCACACCAGAGAATGGAATAACAAATATACTAGGACAATCCTTAGTGTAATTTCATAGTCTAATTAGTATCATCTTTGTAAATATTGTGGATCTTTGACTTTTAGCCTGCATCTAACCCATTGTAGTAAGTTAAAAAATTGTTGTCTCTTTATACACAATCATTTTTTATGTACCTTTGTGTACATGCTATACTAGACATCTAGAAAACAAGATAAATAGCATAGACTAAATATCTATGTAAGCTGTATTCTTTATGTCCATCTACTTCCCATACCCCATGCAGGCATTACCTTTATTACCTTTAATAGTCAGGGGGAATCAGTGATGACTTTTATAGGTATTGATTAAAGCAAATTATTATCCTCCTTTTTCTTAATTCTTGAGGAAAACAGTAGTTTATCATGAATCCCAGCAGCTAGCTAAGGCCATAGATCTTTCAGATATCAAAACTAATATCCAATCAGAGTCATAGTGCAAACTTTATAATCTCCATTAACAGCATAGTCTATAGATATTTAAAATGCTTATATTGTTTCCTAAACTTAGAAATAACTTTGGAGACTATTACTTTAGGTTTAGTTTAAATTCATTGAGTCTAAATACTGCTTAGTCAATGGAACCAATATTTCCCTTTTTTTATCTTCTTCTGAATCTAGAATTTCTCTGAATACTGAGCCATGTGATTTTGAGTTTGTCCAAGAAATTGGTCTAATAAGTAAGAGTAGTTTCTATGATAAGTTCTCATTGTTAATATGAAGGCTTACTACTAAAGAGTTTTGTAGCATTAAATAGTTTGTAGTTTTAATACATTAAATATTGAGTTCCAAAGGTATCAAATATTAAAAATTCTCGAAATAACAGAGGTACAGCAAGTTAGGTTAAGAAATCTGAATGAGAAGTCATCAGCTGCTTTCTTTCCCTTTCTTTTTTTTTTTTTCTCTGTCGTGGGGCTTAAACTCTGGGTCTGGGTGCTGTCCCTCAGCTTTTCAGCTCAAGGCTAGCACTTTACCACTTGAGCCACAGTGCCACTTCTGACTTTTTCTGCTTACATGGTGCTGAAGAATTGAACCCAGGGCTTCATGCATGCAAGGCAAACACTCTACCACTGAGCCAACTTCCTACCCCCCATCAGCTGCTTTCTAATATACCTTGGATGCTCTTGGTTTTTTTTTTTTTTTGTCAGTCGTGGGGCTTGAACTCTGGGCCTGGGCCTGGGTGCTGTCCCTCAGTTCTTCAGCTCAAGGCAAGTGCTCTACCACTTGAGCTACAGCGCCACTTCCGGTTTTCTGGTGGTTTATTGGAGATAGGAGTCTCACGGTCTCTCCTGCCCAGGCTGGCTTTGAACCACAATCCTCAGATCTCAGCATCCCAAGTAGCTAGGATTACAGGCGTGAGCCACCAGCGCCCAAATCTTGTAAAGAAAAGATTTAAATTTCTTTTAAGAGGTTTCCTTTAGAGCCAAGGTAATTTATTTCTCTGATATACCAGTTCTCACAGTCATAAGCTTAAACACCTACAGTTCAGTTAGGCACTGGTGGCTCATGCCTATAATCCTAGCTACTCAGGAGGCTGAGAACTGAGGATCACAATTCAAAATCATCCCAGGCAAAAAAGTCTGTGAGATTCTTATCTCCAATTAACCACCAGTAGCTAAATGGGATTTATTACACTCCTATTTTCTGAAGCAATTTAAAGGCATGATTGCTGAAAATCTCTTATGATAGCCAAAGCATTCAAAGGAAAAAGGAAGTAGGAAAGCGAAATAAGCAAAGTTGACATTTTCCTGCATCAGAGTGAAAAACATACCTTAGGGCTTGAAATCAAAGAAGCTTCTCCTTGAAGACCAAACTATCAGTGTTGGCAGAAATACATCCATGTATAAAAACAGCTTTGCTGAACAGATTTCTAAAAAGAAAAAATCTACTGCATGGCTGCCCTAGGGACGTGGAGTTTTCAATCTAATATTCTTTGATGATATCATTCAGTTTTTTCTAACATACTAACTTGATTGCTTTTCAGGTTTCATCTTAGGGACTGACTTTTTTTTTCTTCCTGAGTCAAGTGCTTTACAAGCCACTCTGAATTACCTGTTATCAACAGTTATGAACTATAGTCACAGTTTTTTTTTGCTGTTTAGTTTTTTCTAACTCTTTATGTATTCTTTTTTTTAATTTAATTTAATTTTATTTGTGAACATACTGTACAGAGGGGTTACAATTACATGGGCAGGATAATGCGTACATGTCTTACCAAGCATTGCAGCCTCCTCCTTTGGTTTATCCTTCACATCCCTTCCCAGCCTCCCCCCT